CCCGACAATTTTCCTTCAAGTACTGTCACATTCTATCACTGTTTGCTTGACTCAATAAAGACTGCCGACAAAATTGCTGAATCAGTTAGCATTCAAAAACCTAATTAAAAAGAGACAAGAGTAAAATATTGAAAAAGCCTACTTCAAACTGAGAGTCAATGTTAGCAACAATTCGTAGAAGTCGCCGCTCAAAATCGCTGACCATATCCGCAGCACTCTTGTCTAAAACTCTTTTACTGTATGCTGTGGTATTGAATGCACCTCTTAATTCTTGCTGTATATCCTTCATCAGGGGCTGAAATAACGAAGATATGATCAATCAATTTGAACCGAACAAATCTTCAATTAGCAGCAAGAACATAGATAACAATTAATAAACTTATTATTTTGAGACTGCTCACCTCCAACAAACCTGCTTTTAACTTCTCTTCGAGAGTTGCTTCAAACTTTTCAAATACCTCATTTACGCGTTTTTTACAAGCTGAATCACGCTCTCTTACCAAATTAAACTTCTCCCTTAAAAATCGTGTTGTAAATAAGCAAATAAAATCTGAGTGGATAAATAGACAAACAAGTGCGTAGATATGCAAATAAATAAACAAATAAATAGATGTATACATATGCAAGTATATATAAGCAATACATAAGATTCTTTGCGAACGAAATTGTATGACAAAACTGTATAACAGCTGTCCCAAATACATTGGAAATTTATTTCTATTGCCTTCATCGGCAAAAAAAAATATATAAAATGCGAAAAATAACAGCCTATGGTTTACTATCAAAAATGAACGTTACTTAATTAATACCTAAAACTTGAGAGTTGATCAGCATCGTGGCTTGTATGGTGTTTTAAAATACATTGCGCACAAAACAATACCTTTTTGTGTCCGTCAGTAACAGATTCCGGAATCTCTTCAGTTAACTGCAAATTTCTTTAAATAGCAACATAAGGAATAAAATTTACGTTAACTGCAACAAAAAACATCGAAACTACAAATAGTAAGTACCTAATACAAAAAAACTTTCAATCCAATTTATGTGACGCAGAAAAGTTAAAACAAAATACGAAATATGCTACCAGAGCGGAGTCGGCTAAAGCGCAGTCGCCGCAGACCCAGAGGTCTTCTTCATTACAAAGTTTGCGACAATGAGCACAACGTAAGTTTGTACCACTTAGTTGACGAACTTTGTCTAAGGCTTCTATTGCATCTAAACATCTTACCCTCAAAGTCCAAAGCACAATCAAGAAAAACAAATAGTATCACTTGAGTTTGGTTAAAACACAAATAGCATAGCCGACAAAAACAAAACTGCTTGAAACTAACCTTTTAAACCAAAATTAACCGGAAGACCAGTGCTTGGAATAGTTGTGATTTTTCTGCAGGCAAAACACCGGATCGTATTACTCTGAACTAGAATAAAAAGAAATTTTTAATTTAGAGCATTCAAAAAACCAAAAAAAGTGAACCAGGAAGTATCGATCAATATATTAAAATAATGCAAAAGATAAATAAATAATCGTAACAAACAGAATGTGGAAATGTTTTACACTTACCGTACAAAAATATTTTCCTTTGCTTCAAAGTCTTAGAAGACTGGTTTTACTCTAAAAACTTTTAAAATTACTTCATCTTAGAATCCTAAATGACCTACCAGCAGCTTTCATATGCTCTATACAATTATTGCAGATCGAATGACCGCAGGACAAGGTTCTCGGGTCATCGTAGGTGTCTAGGCATATAGGACAAATGATCTATAATTAACCTAGTCTACAGAGGATCTGCAGCATCAAATTCTGACAAAGATTAGGTGTTTACGGAAATAAACAACAGTACTTCTTTTCATGATAAAACTTAAAAAAGTACTTTTAATTAATTAGTAAAATAAATCTTGAATATGTGCTTACTAACCTGAGAATTGGAAAGCTCTATGTAATTGGAACTATCGTTATTGTCATCCGCCTCCAATAAATCTTCATCTTGGGGAATTTGTTCCGACGCTGCTACAGCTTCGTCTTCTCGCTGTAGCTAAAACTCGTGATAGATTATTTTTTTGCCATCACTAAAGAGCCGGTTAATGTGCACTAACGAATATACTACTCTCTTACAAAAAAAAAGGTACTTTTAAGGTCAGTCTACAGACCCTTATACCAACACTTTTTCCTAGAAACATCATTTGTGTTGTTTCTGGTGGCTTACAGAATTAAAGTTGATTTTTCTCTTTAAAATTCTCTGAACTTCTTCACTCTAGCCTTATTATTGATAGGAGACTATCTATTCATTCTTCCCCATGAGAATTGTTTCATTAACTTCTTTAATTTTAAAATTGTTTTTGATACTTTTTTAAAGACGTATAAC